CACAAACACAGTACCACTGTTAACAACAAAGTCTAGGACTTAAGAAAAAGGGGTGTCCTTTGATCGCTGTTGCCATTCGTCTGTTAGCATTTTAATCGCTGCCAGAGTACCGGGGCTTTTATTTATTCCTTCTTTAATAGTGTTGAATCGGTGAATTAGGTAGGACTCACGCTGTTCACGTTAGCGATCTGATTTAAATCCAGATTCTAGGAGCGTCACTGACAATTTATCAAACGAGTGTTTTGGGAGAGCGACATGTTTGGATAGAGGCAGTGTCGGAAGATTTATGGCGTGAAATTTGTGATTATTAAAGCGCAGTCTAAATGCCGTTCTAGTCTGCCCTATGTAATGCATTTTGCATACCGTACACTCGAAAAGGTACACGACATTCGACGAGGCACATGTTAAGTTCCCTTTAATTTTGATCGAGAACTGCGAGTACGTGCTGCTGGCCGCGCTTGTGTGCTGCATCTGTCTACAGCTCAGACATCCTGGGTGCATGCAAGGCGTACACTCGTTAGGTGGTGGCGATGAATTTATCCGAGAGTTTACTAGCGCGTCTATGAGGTTACGCGATCATCTGTGGACTACCCCAGGGGCGGATGGAAACGCGCGTTTAAGGCGCTCGCTTTGTTCGAGAATGTTATAATGTCGTCTTACGATATTATTTACATTATGATGGTTCATGCTATAAGTTAGACATAGATTTGTGCGTTTTGTGTCGCTTTGCGTGGGGCGCGGGCTGATAAGGTCTGCGCGGTTCAGTTGCATGGCTTTTCTGATTGCATCGTCGATTTTACGGGGTGGATACTTTTGTTTCTCAAGCACTGACTTTAAATGTTGACTGCTTGCATCAAAATCTGTCTCTTTTGAACAAATTCGTTTGAAACGATGAGCATGGCTATAGGGAATGCTGTTCTTACAATGGTGTGGGTGGTCGCTTTGATAATGCAGGTATTGCTGTCGATCTGTTGGCTTACGGTACAGGCTCGTGGCGAGTTTACCTTCGTCTATTTTAACGTTGACGTCCAGGAAGTTTATTTCATGAATACGTTGGCATAGTTCGGGGCCATTTTAGTGCCCATCGCGGTTCCGCTAACCTGCCTAAAGTATTTATTGTTAAATTCGAACGTGTTGAGTTCTTAGGCAAGCCTCGCTAGAGTAGCGACGAAGTGTCCATCTGGGATATCCGGTTGTTTGTGGAGTTCGTACATGTCAATTAAAGAAATTATTCAATCATCGAGTGATATATTCGTATACAGCGATGACACATCGAGTGTAACCAGATATGATTCCTTTGGTATGCATAAATTTGATATTTCCCTTAAAAAGTGAGTTGTGTCTTTAATGTACGAATCGAGACTTGTAGGTATATGTTTAATTAAACTGTCTACATATCCTGATATGGATTCGGTTACCGTACCTATTCCAGATATGATTGGGTGCCCTGGGTTACCAGGTTTGTGAATCTTAGGGAGCATGTAGAAGCGGCCCGGGGAAGGCTGTACCGGTTTCATTAATTTCTTTTCGTTTGCGGTTATTCTGCCCTCGTCTAGGAGATTCTTAAGGACCGAGGTCACAATCTGAGTGTGGTGCATCGTAGGGTCATCCGCAAGAGGTTCATAAAACTTTGAGTCATTTAGTTGGCGGTTTCCTTCTCGGATGTATTCCGAAGTGCTAAGAATCACAATTGCTCCTCCTTTATTGGCTGGTTTTATTGTTATGTCTGTCCTATTGCTCAGGGTTTTTAAGCTAGCCCTTTCGGATTTAGTGAGGTTATCCCGTTTTCCCGCCTGCCTGCGATATTCCTGTATAATGTCTTTTTGCACAGCGGCAATGTATAAGTCAAGACAATCATCACGGTTAGCCTTTGGCGTCCAGTCGCTCGTTGCACGCAGCTGAGAGGTGTTGGCGCTAGAAGTTTTGTCCAAGAAGTATTCCCGCAATCTTCAATTTCAAGCAAAGTTGTCGAGGTCGCGTAGTAATTGAAATTCGTCAACAAAACTTGTGGCGGGACAGAAGTTTAATCCTCTCGAAAGGATTATTTCCTCTTCTGTTTATATAGTCACGCCAGATAGATTAACAATTGTAGTGCCACAAGGGGCAATAGTGCTTGACCTGTCGTCCGTTATGCTAATGGCCGGTTGAGTATGTTCGCTGTCGTCAGCTGAGGTAAAACGGGGTTGGGAACCTTATCGCGCTGTAGCTTACGTAGCTTGATTGTTTCGAGGTCATGGCGTTTCTTTTTATTGAATTCAGATACGGCGCTAATTTCGGATGTGGATAATGGGCCATTTGAACGGAGAAGTGTAGCTGTCGCGGTAGTTAACTGTTTTACTTGTTTGTCACTATGATGAATCGCTACTTGGACCAGTTTAAGGGAACCCTCAAGGAGAACCTGTTGCCATTCCGATGGGTCATGTTGGTCGAGGTTTGTGCAGGCGGGAGGAAGGGAAAGCGACATGCCCTTCGGGGTAATGCCTGCGTTAAGGTACACTAGCAAGGTTGATTTATGGAGTTCGTGCCTAATGCGTTTATCTGAGAGCTTTCGTACTTTAAGAAAAGTGGTACTGTAGTTTGGAGCGGAGGAACTGGACCCACCGAAATGTCGTCAATCTCCTTTCGGGTGCGGGGTGCTCTCCGCGGCGGGCTTTCGCGGGTTGTAGCGCTGTCTTGGGGTACTTCTCGGCTGCTGCCGGCGTCGCTGCGGTGCCACATTCTCGGCAAGTGTCGGGTACTCATCGACGTAGTCGACGGTCTCGCTGGCTGCCGGGCACGGTGCTCCCGGTGTCCTCACAGGGGCAGCTGGGCTCTCGATGCTCTCGCTGGCTGCCGGGCACGGTGCTCCCGGGATCCCCACAGGGGCAGCTGGGCTCCCTGGACTGGCGTTGTGGGACCTGGGACTCTCGGGGTGCCTGGATCCCAGTGCAGTTGGCGGTGGCGGGGATCTGCGATGACCACCCTGGCGACGTCGTACTTGTTCCACGTTGCAGAATGAACTTCAGGTTTGCCGCGAGGAGGGCGGCCCCCGTGAAGCTCGGGTGCAGCCCGTCAGCCGCCAGGACTCGAAGAGGCGGCAGCGACGTGAAGTCGTGGTCCAGGAAGGTCACCTTGCCTGGTTTCCTGTAGTAGCCCTTGACTGTGTCGTTGAATTTCCGGGCTTCGGTGTTGAACCAGTGGACGAAGCGGTGGTTCGACTGATCCAGGCGTCGATTGGTGTGCCGAGGCAACACGAGGGACACGATAAGCCTGTGGACCTCCGGACGTGCTCGCAGCGTGTTGTTGACCAGGCGGCAGCACCGTCATAGCGTCTCGTCGGTGCCGTACCGTTCCAGCTCGGTTGTCCCTACGTGAAAGACGAGCGTCGTGACAGAACGTGGGAGGTTGACGAGCTCCTTCTCGATGTCGAACGTGGATGCACCACGGATGGTGATGAAGGCGGGTGCGGCTCTATCGTAGGGGTCGAAGTGCTGGTGGAGATATCGGGTCTGCGAGTTCCCGATGACAGCGGAGGTCGGCAGGTGCTTGGGGTACTCCGCGTTAGCTGCTCCACCTTGGGTGCGCCGGAGGCCGGTCTGGATACAACGGGCATGGTGGCGGGAGGCCGAAGGCGTGGGTGAGAAAAAAAAACCCTTAGTGAAAACAGCAACAACGGACGATTTATTCTTCGACGTTTCGGCCGGAGTCCGGCCTTCGTCAGGAAGAACGTTTACAGATGAACGCGGGTGGTATTTATGCAATGGTATACGGTCGAGTCCAAATTTTGGCGGGGTGACGGTTGGAGCTTTCGTGAGAGAGAAGCGTAGGGCGGTTCTCATCCGGGTGAAGAAGCTTGACGGTCGGGGCCAAGTTTCAAGGACGGCGGGATGACGGTTGTAGCTTCTTGAGAGGGGGCGTAGGGTGACTTTGTGTCCGGGCGGGCAGGAGTAACCTGGATGATAGCGTACAATAGACGAAAGTTACACGCGCAAACCAAAGTGCTGTCTCAAAAAAAAAAAAAAAAAGACACGGCACGGTCATTTGTGTTGTTTTCTGGGGCATGCATGCGTCAGACCTGGAAGGGAACAATGTTAAACCTAGAAATGAAAAGGAAATGCAATGGCTATTAAAACCTGAAAATAAAAGAGAACAGTTGTTGGTCCAGTTGCAGCCACAAACACAGTACCACTGTTAACAATAAAGTCTAGGATATATATACACCAATGGTAAAGATACCCGTTCTCTATAAAGACCATAATTTTGTGCTTTCTTATTTATATCTTTGGTACCTACATAAAAAACGTGCAAATAAGCAAATGACTCATGATGGCTTACTGAATAGCGATATGCAGTATTTGTTCTAGTGCAGGTAAGTGAATGTACTTGTCCACTAGAAAATAACTGAGCAATTCATTATTCTTGTCATATCATATGTGGCGAAACAAGTTTACTGTATGAGTCTTTACACGGCACTACGATTTTTATCAATAGAACAAATAAGTAAATAATGATAAAATGTTTAAACCGATGTTTGTTGTTAGATACAACAAAAATCTTTTTGTATTGAGAAAAGAGTGAAATCAAACTTATACATAACACTTCGGTGAGCGTGCGAGTAACTTGTCTCGACCTCCGTAGAGTTTGTCAAACCTATTTGGTATCCGAAAACAACTGTATAAGTTAGAAATCTTTGAGCAAGAAAAAAAAAAAACAGAATATTTCAACACTTGTTTGAATGGCGTAGCACCTCCAAATGGCATTTGATGAACTCTCATATAAGAATGTACAAGTGGTGTCATGCTGCGTAAAACGGAGTACAATGGCGAATATCTGACGACAGGTATTAGAATATCGCCGAAACCAATAATAAATAGTTTTCCGTTCTGCGGATATGTTTCTTGCGGCGCAAAAATTTAAGTTTTTCGTTTCAGCAATGTATGTGTTTTATAGGCTAGCACACCTGTAGCTATGTAGGCAACTGAGAGTAGAAAGCGGACGTTATTGCTAGGACCAGGTGTGGCATGATAAACCGGCGTAGCGCGTACGATTGTTTGTTTACAGATATGTACAACAGACTCCAATGGATTGGTAAGTCAGTCTAATAGAGATAAGAATCAAAACATTCTTGAGTTAACTTTAATTACAAGATTTAAATAATCAAAATAAATAATGCAAGTTTAGTTGACTGTTTTCACTTTTAATGAGTTAAACTGAATTCGAGCATAATGAAAGGATCTGTCGAAGAGTGCCAAAACAGAAAAAGTAGAAGATAAAAATTTTTATAATTCACTCGGAATATGAGATTTTTTATGCAAACAGGATGGTGATATGTGGATCATACATTTTTTAAATATCGTTTACTAAATCGCGTTAAATCGTATAACCGTTTGAAAGGAAAAAAAAAACATTGATGTTACCGAATAGGTTTAAAAAATCTTTTTTTTTGGAAGCTTCCTGTTTTTTCTAGGCGTTATGTGCTGGGTCACTCTATCACAAACGTCACACACGTTGCGCTCGACCATTTACAAATTTTAAAAGAAAATTTTTAGTATTTTACTTCTTTTCCTAAAAAATTTTCGCACAACGTTTTTTTTTTTTTTTTTTTTTTGTTATGGCTTGGTCGGGGTCTGAATTTTTAAAATGAGCGTAAAACTTGTCATCCACGAATAAATGAATAAAAATTAGATTTTCTTCGAACCACCACCCAATTTGTTTTATAAATTTCGAACGGCTTTTTTTTTGCTATGTTATGATGATAATGCCATTTTTATTGTAAAAATAGTAGAAAAAAAATTAAAAACAGAATGCACAAGAATCAGCACATATCTCAAGCTGGTAAATTATTCTCGCTTGGTGCCTGGCAAGTAAAACTTCTCTGTTGGAAGCCCAGGAGATGTATTACAAATCAAGAATGTTTGAAACTGTACAAAAAATAATCCACAGGCAAAAATTCTCAAGTTGTAAAAAATCAGTTTTGGTGTCTAAACAGCCGTTTATTCTACCCTGAGGTGGTCTAAGTAAAAATACGAAGATAACGGCTTTATAACAAGAGTTTATTGCCTTTCATTTCTGCAAGCTTAATCAAAAGGATTTTGGACTAAATCTAGAAAAAAAATATATCGAATTTGAGCACCCGCGTCGTAACCTGGGGTTGCTTCTTAGCCCCTCTTCACCGTACAACACGCCACCTGACATGGGGTGGAAATTAATTGAGCAAACAACTAGCGACCGCCGAGTTTTCATCGAAAGGCACTTCAGCGAATAGTCGGCCGCCGCGAAGCGACGTTTACGGGTGGGCCAGGTGGGTTATCATTTTTGCGATGAGCCGCCGCAGACTGTCGCCGCGAAGACAGAGCGTAATGGTGGGGGACAAGTTCATAATAAAATAAACAAATAAGTGCTAATTTTTGTGCATTTTGTTGAATTTCGAGCATTATATCTTATTAGCATAAATTGCATAATAATCAGAACATAGCAAGCTACAAGTCGTTCAAATTTTATAAAACAAACTGTGAAACTTTTCGAAGTAAATCAGATATTTACTTTGTTATTGGTTGATACATAGTTTTACGCCCATCTCAGAACTTCAAAAAACGCTCATGCAATAAAAAAAAATGGGGTGAAAATATTTTTGCAAAATGTTAAGGATTTTGGGGTAAAGTGCCCTGAAGTTTCTATTAAAAATCGAAAATAGTCGAGCGCAAAGTTTGGGACCAAAAGACCAGTTGATATACCCCAAGCGCCCCGGCCCGCGTTAAAAGAATCATGGGAACGGTGTTCCTCCAGCTCCTTAGTGGCCGGTAATTTCGACGCTATCCTTCGTTCCACAGCTTCTGAGCGTAATTCGGAGTAACCCTGAACAAGCGCCGGATATACCCCAATGACCTGTCCTATCGCTTTTAAAATTTCTTATTGATGTCAGCGTGTTTGATACTGTGCGTGCTGTCCACCCTTCATCCTCGATGAGCTGCAGAAATCTCTTAACATTATTATCATTCCCGTACAGATTCAGACACTGATATTAAGCTAGAAATGCTAAAAATGCTATAAACAAACCCCCGGACTACAAGCTAAATCTTGGTTTTCTGGTTGTGAATTCTCGGCTTTTTAAGAAATTCCTGCTAAACCAAGATTCGCGAGAATGATAATATTGTGAGATTTCTTCAGCTGAGCCAGGTTGCAAATGGTCTAATGATTTCGAATGGCACTGCTATTTTTTTTTCAGAACTATCAAGAAAAATACAAATCTTTTTTTTTTAAATCTATATTACGCTATTTTGTAGGTACATTATAACCATATAACTATCGTTAATGGAAATATATATATATATATATATATATATATATATATATATATATATATATATAAACATATTTTGTTGCGGCGGCGTTTGTACAGTGTATGCAAACATTATTCTAACAGGCAGCAAATATGCATATCTTTCAATACAGAAGTAGCTCCGACTTTCGGTGTATTTTACCCAACGCGAGTAGGCAAACAACCTGGGTCAAGTTTATAAGATTCCTTAGGTAAATGTAAATACTTAGGGCATACTGACGAAAAAGGCTATTAAACGCATCCAGACATTCATATTATTATTTTTTTTTATCGTATGATGTAGTTTTTTATTTGAGGAGGGAATGAAGCATCCTGAGCTCGCGAAAAGCCTTCGAGTAGAAAGCGGGATTTATAACCGGCCTACATGACGACAGAATATTGAAATTTCCGTCGTTTTGACTGAGCGAACCTCCTCCTTTTGGGAATGATTATAATGAACAGCATTGGGATGTGTTTTTGTTTTCTGCGTTTTCTTAATTTGATGAGTTTACGAACGTCGCAACCGCGTTCACGAAAAGAAAGAGTACACCGACTTACCTACATGCGACTTTGTCGTCCGAATGCTCGGCCGTATTTTCCGTACCACGCCTTTTTTCTCGGGACCTGTTTTTCTGGTCGGTCTATGTATTAATCGCTGTTCTTCGGAGATAAAAAGTCTGCCGTGTGAAAACGCCAGTGTTACATTGTATTTTGTGTACTGTAAAAGATGTCCCACAAGGCCGAAAGATTTCGGACACCATGTAGGGAACCGCGTGCGTAGGGTATGATTGCCTATTTGGTGAAACAGACATTTTCGCCTGATTGTGTTTTCACTTCATACTTTTATGTATCTGTGTACAGTACAGTGCACTGCTGCTCAGGCCACTTGGCTGTTTGCAGGCACGAAAATAAACAAAACAAAATCGTGAAAAGTGTTATATCAGCTATGCGGACTCGCGGTAACACAGAAATAACTGTGTGAGCATATTTTAGATAATTATGCGTTTACTTGCTACTTAAGTTTCAAGTTGATATAATAGTGATGCGTTAGGCTAGGTTAGATATAGTGTTTTGCTTCTCCTGACTTGTCAAAATCTATTACAGCAATCCTTCTATCATTGGAACATCTGCTGGCAGCGTCGCTTCCAACGGATATATTTTTAGACAATGAAAAACAAGCACTTGCTCAGGTAAGAGGCTCTGATTGTTCACTTCTATTAGACAACATAATACTAAAGTTGTTTATAGTGTACGAAGCATTCGTGCTAAAACCGGTCCCCACCGATTTATAACCCCCAACTTCGATCAAGGCCGTTCTTGCATTTTCTGTGGTTTTTCATTGACACAATACTTCTTTGCATCAAGATAGTCTTATTTTTTTATCTGATCGATTTGATATAACAAAATAAGAGAGCCAGTTATAACGGTTTGTACAGATATAAGCTGAGTTGAACACATTTTTGTTCTTAATGCGCAATAATCTCATTTGTTTTATTAAAAACATGAAGACCGCGTCAAGTGATCAAAAATATCGATTAAATGCCGCAAGACTTTTAGGAAACACCACTTTTGAATGAAGTCAATATAGCACTTCATTTGAAACATATGTGTGCACGATTGAGCTTTTACGAAATGGGGCTTTTTTTCAGAAAGGTAACTACCCAGGTAGCACGCCAGAGGAATGCCCAACTTGGGCAAAGGTCTGGCAAACATAAGGGCCCAACTTTGGCGCAGTTCGGTTTTTGCACCATGGCATTCATCAGTGCCAAAGTACGGTGCCTAACTATAGCCTAAGTTGGGCGATCCTATGGCATGCCAAAGTTTGGCTCTTCTCCGGTACGCCAGAGGAGTGCCAAAGTTGGTGCCATACTTGAGCCATAACTGCCATAGTAAATCCTAATCTGGGAATTCGGGGCATGCCAAGGTTTGGCATTTCTCTGGTCTGCCAGAGGAGCGCCAAAGTTGGTGCCATACTTCAGCCATAACTGCCAGAGCAACTCCTAATTTCGGTATTTGGGACGTGCCAAGGTTTGGCGTTTCTCTGGTCCGCCAGAGGAGCGCCAAAGTTGGTGCCATACTTCAGCCATAGCTGCCAGAGCAACGGATAATTTCGGTATTTGGGACGTGCCAAAGTTTGGCTTTTCTCGGGTCCGCCACAGGATTGCCGAAGTAGTGCAATACTAGAGCTATAACTGCCACAGCAATGCCCAATTTGGGTATTTTGGACATGCCAAAGTTTGGCGTTGCTCTGGTCCGCCAGAGGAGCGCTAAAGTTGGTGCCAGATTTGAGCCATAACTGCCATAATAAAACCTAAACTGGGAATTCGGGGCATGCCAAGGTTTGGCGCTTCTCTGGTCCGCCAGAGGAGCGCCAAAGTTGGTGCCATACTTCAGCCATAACTGCCAGAGCAACGCCTAATTTCGGTATTTGGGACGTGCCAAGGTTTGGCGTTTCTCTGGTCCGCCAGAGGAGCGCCAAAATTTGGCGTTTCTCTGATACGCCACAGGAGTGCCGAAGTGTGCCATACTTGAGCCATAACTACCAAAGCAACGCCTAATTTCGGTATTTCAGCCTCGCCGAGTTTGGCTTTTCTCTGGTCCGCCACAGTTGTGCCAAAGTAAGTGCCAGACTTGAGCCATAACTGCCGTAGTAAATGTTAATTTGTCGATTCGGGGCATGTTGAAGTTTGGCTCTTTTCTGGCTACCCACTGAAGTGCCAAATAAGTGCCAAAAGTGGCAAAGAAAGCCGAGAGGCCAGCCCAAGTTTCGAATATCTCTGGTGTGTCACAGAAGTGCTCTTTTACGCGTCCCAGGAGAGAAATAAAATAAATAAGCGTTGGAAGCACGATAGTAAGATGTCATCACCTCCGTTCCCAAGCAGCACGGCAATACTTTGCAGTATCGTGCCAGTGCCGGCCGAAAGTCGGTTCCAATATCGCTCAACTGTCCAGTTTTGCACCACCGTTTGATACCCGGCAGGTATTGCCGTACAGCTGTTTCGCCCCGGCCTAGCGTTCGCGTAATATTGTGCGAAAACTCTACGATGCGTCTGCTTCGTATTGGCCGAACGTCGTGCAAGTATGTGTACGTTACATGTCATTTGTTGCATATCCAATTACTTATACGGACAAACAAATTTTTTCGATCGCTCCCAGAAGTTTATTAAACAACTATCATTACACACAGTGTATTCTCAACATATTTACAAAGGTCACACTTCTCTGTAAAACGAAAAGCAAATTATAAAATACAATTAACACTGTCCTCATGCCAAGCAAAACTCATCACACGTAAAACCGCGGAGAATGAAAGGAAAGCAGGGCGACTATCAGAATCATGCTTGCAGTGCACTTACTAATAAAAGAGCGATATCATGTAATCCTTGATAGATGCATAATCCAACTCAGGCACCCCACAAACACATTCGAGGAAGAAGGTTGCGCACATTCAACTGACGTCTCGTCGTCGGCGAAGAGCAGTTTTTGTCGAAGCGTGTCCAACAAACACATCACAAGTATTCCACGAACTCCGGTGCAAAAAATGACTGTTACCGAAAAATTGGCATGGACGTATTCCGACCGTTTACGACGAAAAAACACGGCCGCGTCTGCAACGCACGAAAGCAACACAACACTGAAGAGCCCAGTTCGAAAACCGGACCTACGTGGCCCGCCTATTTCTATAACTAGCCAAACGGCGAAAACGACACCCCCAGAGATCCCATCAGCGTGACAGAAAAAGTCACGTGACAAATTTTCGTCCGAACTTTTTTGTCCTACGCGTCCTATGTAGAGGGGTCACGCTGAGTAACGCGTTTCGCTTCATCCTTTTGATTTGCTTAAAGCGGCTGTCGCGCTCGCTGACAGCCACACGAAGACGCAAAAGCAGGTGGGGAGGATTTGCAAAAGGCGAGGTCGAAGGGACATCAACGACGCATAAAAGGAAAGGCCGCTTCTGCCGGTGACCTTGTCGCCTTGCCTAGTCTGTCAGCGTGCGGCTTCCATTAAAGGGGTCATGAAACGCTTTTCCAACTTTTTCCTGTTTCGCTTTCCTCCTGAACTCATAAATCGCGCATTCCACCAAACAGTTGAAGAAGACGAAAAGGGGGAGTCCCCTCTTGCTCGCACTCTCGTTTGTGTAATCCCGGACACATCCATTCTCCCCCTAGAAGATTAGCCCGTCGCTCAAAATTCAGACAAAAGTCGCTTTCCCCACCCCGTTCATTCCGAAGCTGACAGTGCTGTTGAAGCTACGTGCTCGTTGGGCCAGCCACACTTGCCACGTGAGCGTGGCAAATGTGACTGCAGAGAATGAAGCAGGTGATGAAAGGGAGGCGGCTGATTGGTCCGGCAAGCGTGTAGCTTCCACCACAATGTCAGCTTAGGGGTGAAGGGAATAAGTGAGGTCCGGTTGCGTGTGACGTCAGTTTGGACCCGATAACGCGCTTTTGGCACCGCGGTTGTATCACAGTGAAAAGGCAGAGAGGTTGCGAAGGGGAGGAGGTACGAAATAGTCCGCTCTGTTTTCAAATTTTCGCACTGAAAGTCAGGCTTTTGACTTTCTACCTTTTTCTTTTGGTCCACTGAACGATGTGCTATTAGTGAAATCCCAATCTAAAATGATTTATCCCAACCCAAAAATCGTTTCATGGGCCCTTTAAGGGCCTAAGAAAGATAATCTCCTTTCTTGAGAGCGAAATGGACGGGGTGGTTATGTTTTCCGGGCTTGTCGCCATCCGATAGGCCTCAATTATTTCTCTCCCCATTTGCACGCAGTGGCCTCCCATGGCTGTCGTGCCGGTGAAATTAGGAGCGCAAAAATACTCCACAAGCCGGGCGAAGACGTGATAAATGTAATAACAAAAACGGCTTGACATCACAAAAATAACAATTTAATTAAACGTTTCGCCTCCCATGCGTGAGGCATCTTCAGTAGAGCGCAGAACGAGTGAGAGTCGCACAAAAAAGTTCGGTTATTTAGGCATAAAGTTTGTGTACACGTCCGGCAGGGGGCCACGGTTCTTGTTTACCAGCGATGAATCACTTCCGCGTTTGTCGTTCTGGATGAACCAAGATTCCAGCAGCTTCCTCGGTTCCCACCTTTTATCCCCCTCCAAGGTGGATGCCTTGTCAATGTCAAATTGGTGTCCTGACGTCCATGCGTGGTCGACGAGTTCGGACATGAAGCGGGTGGCGGTCCCGTGCGTGTTCTTTTAGTCTTGTTTTTCTTTTTCGTCTCGTCGCTCCAATGTAGGAAGCGTCACATTCCTTGCACTGTACCTGGTAAATCACGACCCTTTCTGCCTCTGGCAGGGTCGGATCTTTTGGCTTGGAGATAACATTGGCGATTGTTCTGTAGGGTTTGTATACAGTTCGTACCCCCAACGGCCCAAGGCCGCGTCCCAATGCCTCCGAAACCCTTAACGTAACGTGTTCGTTCGGCTCGATCCAGGCGCCGATGGGACATTTGTTTGTTGGTCAACAAGAACGCATTGGTCTTAATGAGTTGAAGTCAGACAGCTCCATCATGATTTTAAAGGCCGACAAAGGAAAAAGAACCGTTGTGCTTGATAGGGATGACTACATAAAGAAGATGTATGAAGTTATAAACGACAGTCACTATTTCGTGAGGCTATCAAGAGATCCCGCTGCTAAGTCCGAAAGAGAGTTAGTTGACCACCTTCGAGAGCTGAAAAAGAAAGGACGCATCAGTGACGACCTATACCGTCGTCTCTTCTCCTTTGACGCCGCGACACCCAAGATGTATGAACTCCCCAAAATTCACAAACCGGGTTGCCCCCTACGCCCGATTGTATTTTTTATTAGTTCATCCACTTACAGCCTTTCCAAATATCTGGTTATGATTCTGAGCCCTCTTACAAGAAAAAATGAGTTTAGCCTCCGGAATTCCCATGACTTTGTTGAACTTATACGCGCTCAGACCCTGCTACCGCACGAGGCTATGGTATCCTTTAATGTGATTTCATTATTTACGAATGTCCCCAACGCCCTGGCGGTTGATGTCGCCCGTGACCGGTTGTGGGCAGACCAGTCGTTGTCCACTCGCACAACCCTCCTTGTTGAAGACGTTATACTCCTTTTGCGTTTTTGTCTCAACCAGTGTAATCTTAGTTTTAATGGGGACATATATCATCAGGTCAGCGGATGCCCTATGGGGAGTTCAGTTTCC